CTCTGATAATCAGTATGAAGCCCAAAGAGCTACAGCGACTTGTCCTAACTTGGGAGTTAGCTGTCGGCAGGGCCAGAACGAGAAAGGAGGTGCAACTGCCCCAAACCCTCAGCTGTTTTCTTCCCAGGGCACAACAACTGAGCTCAACCAAGCCCAGTCCATCTCCAGACTACACAGGAGGGAAAAAGCACTCAGTAGGCCTCTTGCAAAAATGCTTGGGATGTCCCCAGTTAGAATAAAATTAACCTCAAAGAACATTTTCCCAAATGCTACCTTGAGAGTGACAAAAGGTGACATTTGTTTCACCATACTTATATTTAAGGAATCTTTATCAAGACCAAAATTATATTCTCAAATTAAAATTGTTGGTTGCCTTGTCTAATTGGGAGTGATTAGTCCCTGCCCCTCCCCTCCGCCAAAGAAAGTTAGCTTCCATAATACTTTTGATTTCTCCCTATAGTCTTAGCTTCTGGCACTATCTGGCTGGTGGGTTAAATTAAGATTAAGGTGTGTGGACAGATGTGCATCCTGCATCCAAGGGCCAAATTGTTTTTCCCACACATTCTTTTATTAAATTTAATTCTGAATACTATTCCAAAATTCCTACTATTTATACTGCTTTGCTCCTGGACACTGCATGTCTGCATTTTATGTTCAGAGCATTTCTCATGCCTCCTGGGAAAGAAAGAAGTTGTGAGTGGTCAGGTCTTGAGTCTCAGTAGAGAGACCAGTGACAGACCTGCACGGTCCAGCTGCTGGTCGTCACTATAACCTCTGACCTCCGACAGCTACGAGCGACCAAAATTAATGAACAAAGTTATTCCCCTACCCAGGACTGTCTAAAGGGACAGCATGCTAGACTCAAATCTGTCTTAAAACAACAACTTGGTTTTGTAAATGCAATCCATTTCATGGGATTGAGTAAAAGAGTGAAATAAAATTATACTGCAATTTTACAGAAAAACCTGATGAGAGCTATTTGGAGAATTTTTGTCTGGAGTGTTACTACCTGCCTGCACTATTAACTCTTGTTTTTCATCTTGAGAAATGACCTTACCTAAATAACCCTTCACAATCTTATTTCATTTATTGTATTTTTTTTCCTGAAGACATGACAGACCAGTATAGTTTTAGAAATAATTGTTATCTTTCAAAAATTTTAAAGCAAAAAAGAAAACTTTCCAACTAGCTTGCCTTAATAATCTATATTGCATAGTTCTAACTGAATATGTCTCAAATGGATTTTGAATAACCTAAAAAGATAAATCCCACATGAAAATTAAGAATTGAAGAATGAAATTTAAGCTGTCATATATGAATTTAGTTGATCTTTGTTTCTTTAATAATTTTCAAACAAAAGCACTTCATTCTAGTTCACAAAGATCATTACCTTTGGGAATTAAATATCTTTGCTGTTCCTTTTAACTAGCTTTCTTTTTTAAAAGTTCAAACAATCCATGTTCTACAAACTCAAAAGCCCTGCAGCTAGTGTTAAAAAATATTTAAACCATGAAATTCTCCATTTTCTTTGCTATGCCTGTAGTAAATGGAAGAAGTCTCTTTATACCTACTGACATAAACCTATTCAAAATCAGGTCTACATCTACTCAGTAATGATTTTAAAAAACCTATATCAAATTACTCCTTTGGTAGTCATCCATTAACTAGAGCCACAGAAGAAATTATCCATTGTGTAAATAGACTCTAAATATATTTATTAATTTCATAATTGCTAAAAACAATGAAGCATTAGACTATTCTTTCAGAGTTCTAAAGCAAGGAATATGGTTCCAAGTCTTTATTTGTCACACAATAAAATGAAAAACTCTTTGTTTCCATGGGAAGTTGTTAAGAGAACTTCTCGAACTTTTTCTATTTGTTTGTTTGTTAAGACAGGGTTTTGCTATATAGTTTCAGGCTTGTCCTAAATTCACTATGCAGCCCAGGTTGGCCTCAAACTTTCAGCATTTGTCCTGCCTCAGCCTGATGAGTGCTGGGGTTATAGGTGTGCACCACCATTCCTGGCCAATTTAGAATGTTTAAGAGAATCTGTTTCTATGAAATGCAATGGTCACTTCATCTAAAATCTTATCATCAGTCATTCAAATGGACTCGTCTACATGGCCATCTCACTCGCTGGTAGCTATTTAAAGATCCTGACAGCTTTCAGGGAAGGGTGACATCCACAGAGCCCCAAGACCACTTTCACTTACTGTGAAAAAATGCTAGATTACAGACATCATCCAACAACAGACCTAAGTGCTGTACTTTATCCCTTAGTGCTGGACAATTTTTTTCTTTTGCTAATTTTGCTTATTTTGGTGTCTGGGTAAGAAATGCTTAACTGTGTTGTATATGGGTAAAACTAACTGAACAGTTGTGCAAAATCATTAAACTCATTTTCAGACTAGTACAGTAGAATTCTAGATGCTGAAAGCATTAAGATTGGTCTAATTAGGCCCTTTGAAGGTTTGATGACCTCCCCTCTCTCCTGTGATGTTATGGTTTAGATCTACAATGTGTTGATCCAAAAGTATCTTGTGTTTTGAAGGTAACAGGATATGGCTGCTGCCATCCTCATTGAACTGATGAGTTCATGCTGAAGGTGCTGTTAGGAGGGGGGCCTTGTTGGAGGTGGTCACTGAGGGTGTGACCTGGAAGGGTGTACACTTGTCCCCTGCTTTCCCTCTGTCTCTGCTTTCTGGTTGTCTTAGGATGAGCAGCTTCCCTCTGGCATGACCTACCACCATACCCTCCTTGCCTTGGAGCCAGCCAACTGTGGACTGAACCATCTACAACCATGAGCCAAAATATACCTTTCCTCCTTCAAGTTTTAGGTATTAAATATTTTGTCCCAGCAAAAGAGCAGTGACCAGTACAGATGCCAAGTGCCCACTGAAGACATGTCTTTTTGAACAGGGTCTCACCCTGCAGGTCAGACTGTCCTTGAATTCACTGTGTAACTCAGACTGGCCTCAAACTCCTAACAACCTTTCTGCATAGCCCCATGAGTGCTGGGATTACAGACGTGCACCATAAAGGCTTTTTAAAAATTTTTATTTAGGGAAGGATCTACAGGGTGTTCAGGGTCTCACTACTAGATCAGACTTTTAGTGCTCTGTCTCTCTACAGCCTTCCAAGAGCTGGGATTACAGGTGCATGCCACCATGCCCAGTCTCAATTGCTGTCTCAGCACCCCCTACCCCAGGGCTGACACAGCAGGCCCAGTGATCAAACTCCTGGCCAGTGTGCCTGATTGCAGGTGCTTTAATCTGCTGAGCTATTTGGCTGGCCCCATAAAGCTTTCATAAAAAATCATGCTTACTTCAGTCCCACTGAAGTTATGAGGTTGTCTTACCCTCATACTTTTTATAGAAATACCTCTTCAAACCTGACTCAGGAAAATTTGCATGCTTAAAATTTCCCTTTTAACCAAAGAGACAAAGCTATAGGACAACAAATAATATCAGACCCAAGATTCTAAGTTCTTAGAGCCTTCTGTCTGTGCACCAGTGTGTCTTGACTTTGTACATTTTTCTACATAGCAGCCATGGTTGCCTCTGTTATTGTCATCCTTGATTTGGGCAGGGCTGGACCAACTGAGGTTTGTCACTAAGAAAGGGGCGTGTATTGACATTTGAGATGACAGCATAAACTGCTCACTGTTGGACTTTGTCACTGGACTGTAAGTTCAGGAAGTCATCAGAAACCTTACTGGGAGAAACATCTTTATGTCCAAGAATGGGTGACTTGGTTGAAGTATGAATTTCCAGATCTGATGCACTGGCCTCCTTCATTATGTTTGGAAGCTAATTAACTTCAAGAGCTTGTACGTTAAGAATGATTTTTTTTTTGAAATATAAAAATTGTGCAGTGGTACCTCTGTTCATGAACTCAATTCTTACAATTCTTAATTCTTGCAATTCAGTTGCAACCGGAATAATGGAACAAATGCTGTGACCGGAGTCATGGAAAGAATGATGTTCGTGAGCTGAGGTACCTCTATATATTCCTGAATGCTTTCCTTCTTTCCTAATCAATAAGGACAAGTTAAAGATGTGCTCTCATGATTAACCAGAAGCATCTATTTCTGGTACCCTCAGTCTCATGGTCATAAAGCAAGTACAGAGCGGCTTTATTATTTTATAAAGATGCATATTTGGCGAGACTCGGCATGAATTTAGAGTACTTGTTAGTCGATGGAGTAATGGTTGGAATCTGGGACGCGAGACTGGGGCTAAATTTCTTTGCCCTCTTAACCCCAGAGAGTCTTTAGAAAAATAAAAACAAAAGAGCAGAAAGTACTTAAGGTAAGACACTGCTGTATTCATAATATAGAGAAATAACCACCGTGCCTCGCGGACCGCAGATGCAGCCCTCTACGGGGCTACAAAACTGTGCTAGTAATAATTTTAATTGGATGCTATCTTTGCTGCCTTCAAAAAGTATCATAAAGTGGAATTATTACGGGCTACAAGTGCACTTACAGTGCTGGCCTCTCACAGAGAAAGGAGATAACATTTATCCTTCCGAGGGCAACATCAAGGGCCTTCTATTTGTTTCGTTTACATGCGTTCCCCAGCCACCTGCTTTCTGCTTCTCCTTCCCGGGGTCTAAGAAATCTATTTTATTTATTTATTTTTTATTTTCCTACATGCACACGACATGCTGTAATAATTTTCATTATCACTTTGCTCGCCAGATCCCCCCACCCCATTTTTGCATGCTTTGGGGGAGAGGGCTTCCAACGTGCCTACTGTATTTTGATCGTGTTCCTTCCCCTTATTACTCCTCCGTATACTCCCTCTCTTCCTCTGCCTTCACCCCTTCTGGTTTAATAATAGTTTTCCATTTGCTTTTTTTGGTCATTTCTTTTAGATTCCACCTATTAGGGAGAATATAGGATCTTTATCTCTCCGGGTCTGCTTTATTCTGCTGCCCTTTCGAGCACGGCACAACCCCACCACAAGGTCCTCCGGCGGGTCAGCGAGCACACCTACCTGCAAAGGGGTGGGAGGCGTGAGCGGAGACGGAAGGCCGTGGCCGGGAGACTGGCTGGGCTTCTGAGGGGGGCTGGGGCTCTGTTGGGTTGGAGATGGCTGGCTCTGGTTCTGGGGGTGGGAGTGGGGCTGGTGCTGCTGGGGCTGCGGGGCCTGGAGCAACTGGGATGCAGGAGCTGCCGGAGGCTGGGAGGTGGGTAGGGGTTGCGGGGCCTGCGGGGCGGGCTGGGACTGCTGGGGCTGCTGGTTGGTCGATGGTGCAGTAGGTTGCTGCTGCGGCTGCTGCTGCTGTTGTTGCTGCTGCTGTTGTTGCTGCTGGAGTTGTTGGAGCTGCTGAAGCTGTTGCAACTGGGAGTTCAGGGATGAGGTAGCTGTAAGGAAAGAAAGAGACCTAGTGTGAGTCCTGATGCTCTTTGGAATTTAAGAGGGCATAACAACAGGTAAACCATGGAAATGTCCTAGATCCCCATCAACAGATAGATGATGGATGGATTTTAAAAATGTGGCATATATATGAATACTATTCAGCCCTAAAGAAGGATACATTTGAGTTACTTGTAGGAAAACAGATGGATCTTGGAACTACGATGTAATGTGAAATAAATTCTATGCAGAAGGTTAAATAGCATGTGGTTTATCTTACATGAGAAGCCCCAAATTATGAATAATTCAAAGAGCAAATAGAGGAGAGAGCAAGGAACAGGGCAGCAGAAGTTTGGAGGTGGAAAGGAGATCAGGGAAGGGAAAAAGGGAACAAGGAGCCAGTGAACACAATGATCAAGAGGTGACATGCATGTACACCAGTTCTCCAAAACCATGGAGTGCATATCACAAACATACAATAAAAAAGTAAACTTGAAGAAGATTGTGAGACGCTGGGAGAAACAAATTCACTTCTTGAAGAAATTTTTACAACTTAGGTCCAAAGAATAAGATATCAGACATTCCTCTTAAAGGTGGTGAGTATTACTTTAAAAGCATCACTTTTAAAACAGGTGCACATAAAAAAAAATGGAGATTATTTTAGAAGTACTTTCTCCTTCTTTCCTTCCCATACTGATTGTGAAATACACTCATGCTTTCAAGGTTTGATTTAGACTTTCAAAGTTCAGCCAGTTTAATTCTTTTGGTAAATGCTTGACTGGAGTTTAGAACAGAACACTAAATTGTTTGTAATCTCCTTTTCATCCGTCATCAATACCATTAATGGTATCATTTTCACCCGCTACTTCAGATTTCCACCAATTTGCTTAGACATCTTAGTTTCAAGTTCTACCGTGCTATTTCTTAAAATTTAAGGATAGAACATGTCTCTTAGTATTTTAGAGTCAAAAATCTGTATTTATGTTATAATGTTTTTATTGTGTTTGTTTATTTTTGCCTTTTGATCCAAGAGACAGAGAACCCAGACCAGAGGGATTAGAGCAGGTGACTGTGAAATGCCTGGTGTGACATTTAGACACATTAGTACTTCAAGGACAAGCCAAGAGCCAGGAGAATGAAATCATCTTTCAAAATTTTCCTGTTACATGCTCAGTAAGAGATGGGGACAAAACCATCTTGGTACTAAACACACAAGATTTGTTCTCCTCTGCCCGTCAGGCGTGGAAGGATGTCTGCAGCAGGAAGCTGAAGTGTTGTTTAGAGCAATTACTGCGGAAAACCAGGTTCACATCCTTCTTCATGTAAACCTCAGTCTGCAAGCTTTCTCACAAACGGATGGATAAATAAGTACCAGGATCAATCTTGAACCTAGAGGCTGTGGCTGCAAAATTTCCCAGCTCCTTTTCTACCTAGAATTAGTCAAAATTTCCAAAAGCAGTAATTTTCAGCTGTACCATTAAATGAGTCGCTGTTTTCAAAAATACTAATTTTCAAAAATCTGGTGAAAATCATATGGGCTGCTACACCTGCCTTGACGCAAGAATACATTTTTGAAGATACATAGAATCATATATTGACAGTATCTCAGTATTTTCTTTATAGACAATGTAAGGGCCAGGGAGATAGCTCAGTAGAATAAGCACCTGCCTGACAAGCACAGGGTCCTGAGTTCATTTCCTGGTACTGCAAAAACCATAAATAAATAAATATATAAATTAAAAAAAAGAAAATGTAGCTGGCCATTACTTTTGTAAAATTAGGAATAATTTTGTGAAATTTATTGAATGCCAGGTAAGATGTAGGATTTAAAAAGGAGACACTACCTTCAAGAAGCTTCCAGTTTCTTTGGAAAAGTAAGATTAATTTGTAAGAAGCAATCTAGTAGGCAGGTAGCTATTAGAGTCTTGATAAAGGTAAATGCAGGTTATTGCAATAAGCAGCCAACAGGGGAGCCCTGACCAAGAGTGGGAGGAATTGGAAGAGGGGTGTTCCCTGTGGGCTTCAGGGGACAAGGCAGCCAAATGGTGGCCATGGGATGTAGGAGAAGGTTCAGGAGACAGGGGTGCAGGAAGAGAGGATATTCTCAAGCTGGAGAGACACAAGAAAAGAGTATGGCTTGGATGATACCTCTAAGGCCAATGTTGAGAGTGGAACTCTATGAACGGAATGTGGAGAAGACTTTGAATGAGGTAAACCACACAGAAGGTAGAGGTGCTGAATAGTGAAAACTGTGGGAAGATAGATCCCCCCAATTAACCTTTTTTTTGTTTGTAGTTTTTGAGACAGTCTTGCTATATAGTCCAGGCTGACTTCAAACGTATAGCCAACTTCCTGTCTCAGCCTTCCAAGTATTGGTGTGGGAATGTGCCACCATATCCAGCCTCAACTTTTTTTTTTTTTTTTTTGGTGCAAGGCAGATCTCAAGCATATAAATCAGGTTTGTTTCAAGGAAGGTGTGGCTGAGCCAGTGAAATGATGGCTAGTCTCGGGGCACAAGGGCCAACTCCGTGATCACTGACAGCATGTCTTGAATGGGCCAGTGGGAGAGCGAGTTCCCAGATTAACAGACTCAAAGTTGCCTAGCCTATCTTCCTCTTTATTAGAACTCTAAAAGGAAGACATAGCTTTCCATCTTTCCTTTCTTTCTCCTATTGTACAAAAGTACACTTGATTAAAGACGGGAGAGCCAAGCTCAATTCTGGCCTCTGTATTCCCTATAGTCTGGGGCATTCTAGGTGGAGTTATAGACTTTGGGAACCTGATTGCTGTGGTCTCCTGCCTCACTCACATCAGGCCTGTCCTGACTTCTTTCAGGTGGGACCGCTAATGTCGGTGCCTATTTTCATGGTTGACTGAAATACCATACTGTTTTATTTTGGTTAGAAAAGCATTTATCTAAATCAGCACTTAGAAACTGGAAGGACTTGGGAATATTGGCAGGTAGATATTGGCAGACGAATAGGTGCAACAGACCCTAACCTCCTAATGAGACAGGGCCCCAAATGTGTCTCTAATGCTTTATGTCAGTGATGTTTGGCTATTTCTGCCCTGTAACTGCAGCTTAATTGGGAAGACATAACCCTAAACAAAAACCCTTGGAGTTACATAAACTAATTTGGCATCTGTGAGCAAAATACGATAGAAATATTATATGTTTGCATATATAGTGGAAACAAAGAAAAGCATGAAAGAATGGAAAGTAATATGTGTAGTCTGAAAAATGCCAAAGCCACCTACCCAATAATATGAAAATGAAATCAATAAAAAAGAGAAACTGTGGTGCCCCTAAAGAGCTCATCTTATAAAGCATGGTGAAAATGGACACAGAAGAATTGTTTTTAAAAGATGAATAAAGTTTGGAAGGTTCAAGGACATATTTGAACTACAAAGAATGTTTGTGGATAAAGTGCTTGTTGGGTAAAACTCTGACCCAAGGCCTGGAAGCTGAAAGCCTGTGCCTTCTTCCCTGGTATTTAAGTTCTTTTATGATCATTTCTTCTGCGTCTGGCTACTATATAGTCGGTCGGCCAATGTTCAATGTGGTATTTGAGTATAATAACAACTATGAAGCAAGGAGATGAACAAAAACACATCTTAGAAATTTGAAAACTTATAATTCTGAAAAGGAAACACAAACCAAAATTTAATCAAACTACAAATTTCTTGGCGAGTAGACAGCATTAAGGGAAAACTGGTGGCTTAAAACATCCCTGGTAAATCATTTCATATGGCAAATTTCATATGCAGGTAGTTGAGAATCCTGCACTGGTCCTTTTGAAAGTACATTTTATTTTCAGCATTTAAACTGGAATTAAGAGACAGTTTCTTGTTTTGAGTACTCGTTAAAGATTTCTTCCCACACTTCCCAGACATATCATCAGAGAACTGTCAGCTATGTTGGATGGGATTTATGTAAGATTTCTTCCAAAGTTTCTATGGACAGTAGTTCTAGAGCCCCACAGATAGCAAAATATAGTCCTTTCTATAAACTGATGTAGTATATGCACCAACTAGTTTCTCTAAATTATTTATTTATTTATTTATTTATTTATTTATTTATTTATTTATTCTTTTTTTGTGACCTGCTCAGCCCACTCCAGGGGCAGGGCTGGCACAGCACGTGGTGCTGGGGATCCGACTGAGGTCCCTGAATACTTGCCTAAGCTTGTGTAGGCAGGCACTTTAGCCCGCTGAACGATCTTGCTAGTCCTCTAAATGATTTATAATACTTGACACAATACAAATGCTGTTTAAGAGGTTGTTATACTGCATTTTTAAAAAAGAATAAAGACAAAGAAAAATAAAATGTTTTTAAGCATTTGGTGCAGGTAAAATAATTTTTAGAAAACTCCAGTCACTTGAATCTGCAAGCATAAAGATTTCCGAGAAATAAAAACATGTCTTGTGCTTATCAAGCAAAGGGCAGGAAGGAAAATGGTCCTTAAATACTGAAGGCAGGTTCATCACCAGCAACACCATTACCCATTTAGGCCAATAGTATTTTACGCCATGCCATTGTAATGATGTCCATTTAGTGGTTTGTTGGACTTTTTGGGTCAGGAGTATTTGGACAAACTGGTGGATTGGGTTAGGGAGCCTGCTGGGTTAGGGTGGGGGAGGACTCATTAGCGGCTGATGTTTACATTTTCCTGGGTATACGTGGGAACTGGTGTAGCTTCCCAGAAAGGTGTCCCGAGACTCACCCTGGGGAGGGAGGAAACAGGCAGGGCTTATTTTTAAAGGAATCATGTGCAATGCATGCTGGTTATGATTCCTCAACTCTAGCCCAGCCTCCTTGTCCAAGTCTGGTTCCAGGCATGCATAGAGCTCTAAGTCTATCAAAACAAGCAGCTCTGAAAACAGAATGCTAAACAAAGGAATCCAAACAATACAGATCACATATTGTATGATGCAATTTACATGAAATGTTCTGAATACTAAACACATAAAGAGAGAAAGCAGAGTAGTGGGTGCCTCAGGGGAGCCC